AATGCATTTTTAAACCGAAGGTAACCTGACTCTTTGAAGACAACTACAGCCTAAAATGTCAAAAAGCAGCAAGTGTTACCAATTTTTATCATTTTGTTCTTCCTGGCTCTTATTTTGTGCTAGTCATGATAAAAATGTCCCACCCTTGTCAGTTCTACTTTGGTCCTTATCTTTCAACTAAGAGCTTGACAAGGAACACCCTGTGTCACTCACAGTGAGTGACACAGGGCATGACTCAAAATATTCACCACAAGAATAAAAAATACATGCAGTATTGGACTACTTTAAACATGGTTTCACAAAATGTATTAACAGTAATTATTATACTTATAACTCTGCCAATTAATCATGTTTCCACAACTAACCAAGAGTTTTTGATGCAAGTCATTTGATACATATCACATTCTATGGAGGTGATAAGTTAATAATTATTTCTTTGTATTACCTTGGAGCCTATCTGGTTGCCACATTGTCCAATTTGCAGATGTACGATTTCACGCATGGTGATCAAGAGACAGTCCACAGAACAGCTGAGGCTCCGAGATAGTCCTCAGTGCTCTCATCTGTCTTATATATGGGGCCAGAAGTGATGTCATCAGTGACATAAAGAAGTCCTCTGTTTAAAAAAATGCGAAAGACCCAGAATTCACAATGAAAACTAAATATTCTGCTGTGCAAAAGTCTAAGTCCTATTAGTTACTGCATCTGAGGGGGAGTTTTTTGTGATTTTTCAAGGAGCAGCAGTCTTGGAGGTTGATTTTAGAATGGTTTTTAAGTTGCTTTTTTTTTTTTTTTTTTTTTTTTTTAATACATTTGTACTTATTAAGCTGCTCAAGGTGTAAAACCTTCAAGAGGACACGAGGCCTGTAAACCTGAGGGGTGAATCAGGTGTCTTTACAAAATAGATTATGTGGTTCATCTATGTATTCATTGAAAACTGTGAATATATAAAAGTCTGAAATGGTATTTTACCACTAAGGTGGGTTCCACATGGATATTAAGCTATATTAAATAATGCTGTTTTGGTTAAACCTTATCTGTAAATTTATTTAGCTGTAGAAGACAGAAAATCCTGCATTACTAAATGCAGAATCATATATATATAGGTAAAAGATATATCGCTGAACTCTACAACTGATCAAAAACAGGAAGGAAGTTGAAATAAAGTGGCTCATTTCATTGCTCAGTGTCTCATAGCATCTATAAGTAACAGCATCAGTAGGATCCCCAGTTTAAATTTAGTCCGACATATGTAATTATGTATTTTGGTATGTATTCTAAATAAAATAACCAAGTTTCTATTCAAAAACACTAAAAAGGAACTTCATGTACTTCTCTATGGCCTACTGTTGCTGATAAATGGTCAGATTATGACGAATGCTACCATCTAGAGGATAAAGGTGGCTATGACACTTTACAAGTTCACACCTGAGAGCCTTTATATAACTTTAAATTCATATTTCAAGTTGAACTGATTATTTTTAAAGTTCTAGAGTAGTTTTTAACTTGACTGTATGTGCCTTGCTACAAATTCATGAATACATTTAATTATCATTTGGAAACTGTTTTTTTTTCCCCATTTACTTAAATTATCATTGTCTAAGATTAAAATTTGTTTGATCTTCTGAAATATTTAAGTGTGACAAAAAAAACGTAAAAACAGAATAAGTCAGAAGAGGGGACAACTTTTCCACAGCAGACTGAAATGTATTTGTCCTGTTTTTAGAGCTATCCCTGACATCTAACCTGGTGAAGAGTTTGCATGAAGTTTAGTTCTTATTTTTGAAATATTTCTCCATCTGAGAAACTCTGTCATGGTGAAAAAAACTATCTGAACCAAATTCACCTGACTGAGAGAAAAAAAAAAATGTATCGCTCTGAATTGAGCTGAAGTGAGATGACCATTTGAAATCCTGGGATTCATCTTGTAACTTCTCTGATTCCAGTCATTAGTTCCACCCTCTGTTGTCTGTTGGAGTTCATTAGAGAGCCACAGCAGCATTTAGTTGTCACTGATGACCTTTATGTGTTTTGCCCTGAGCCTTTTGACGCATTTATGGAGGGAGTTTGTTTGTGTGTGTGCCAGTTTGTCTGCTGTGTATGAATCATGAAGGAATCTGTGTTTATGTGTGTGCATGTCAGATTTAAAGGGCATGATTCATTTAAATACCCCGATCACTACCAGGTGAGAAAGGATGCTGCACTGCTGTGTTATCTAAATTTCTTTCAAGGAATCTCATTGGAAAGTTGGAGGATACAACTCACCTTAAAACTGAAAATGGGCAAAACTGTGGGAAATAGATAATAGTTAATGATGCTGTTGTTATTCTATCTTGTAAATAATCTGCTCTGGTACAAAAAAAAAAGAGTATTATTGATGGTGGCTTCTTATTTTGGTACACATTATTTTAGAGCTGCCCAGTCATTAGTCATTTCAAAGAAATAGTTCAATTTTTTTTAATATAGAGTTCTCTGATTTTGATTAGTTTAACTTATTTTCCAGGGATTTGTACATTTACATCCATTAGCTAAGGCCATAGTTAGCAGATCAAGATGATCAATGTGATCTCTGTAGTCAAAGGTACTAGTCAGAAGAAGGGCAACAAAAATTATATAGTATAGTTACACAGTTGTAGAATCAAGGCAGGTATCAATAATGGGAATAATTGTTACTGGTACCTTCCACCAGGAACAATGTGAGAGAACGGTGATATTAGAAAATGGATGAGAATTATTTAATTTCCCTTTGGGATCAGTAAAGCATTTTTGAATTTAATTGAATTGAATTGGATTGAATTGTTTTGAAGACATTAGTCTGAGATGCAAAGAGGCACTAAAGGAGTTGCTGAAATTTCTTGCAAGTAATGTTTGCATTCCACATGTGCGTTGAATCTAAAAACTAGAAAACACAATTTTAAGTTATTAAACTTTTTTCTAATGAAAGCATTCAGATCTATTCAAAGCTTCCCGGAGCATTGGGGGGGAGGGGTTGTTAAAGTCCAATGGAACCTGAGTTAAAGGTTTGGGCTTTAGCTTAAAAAGTTGAATCAGAAGGTGCTTCAAAAGATGCTGCCTATTTTTAAGATGGGTTTGTACAGAATATAAATACAAATAAATGACTTATAATGCATTGTTTTCATATGACAAAAACTTACTGTTCTGTACAACTCAAAAGTAAGGCCATTTAAACAAACAAATTGTCTAATGTGACAAATTTAACGAGTTCTCTTTTGTAACAAGTAGGATGGTTACAGACTTGTCCAGGTCTGATGCAGAACCATCTAATGCTGATTTTTTTTTTTTTACACCAAAGTAAAGATTTAAAAAAAAAGAAAAACAAACAACATATTTTTGGGATAAAACATGTTTTCACAAAGTGTAAGTATTATTTTGTCTTTTGTCCATTACAATTAACATTGTAACTTCTCATAACCTCTTTATAGAACCTCAAGAAACCTGAACTATTCTTTTAATTCTTTATTAAAGAACTAAACTATTGAGTAATTAATCTATTGCTAATTTTCTGGTGATTGATTTACACTTTGCACAACAAACCTAAGACTAAAAGAAAACTGTTTCAAGTTTATAGCTTTTGAGAGTTTTATTGAAACTAATTGCTCTTGTGTGATTTTTCAAATCCAAAGCAATGCTTTTGGCCAACTTTCTAAAGCTGCAATTGCTTAAAAGTTACAGCTATTATTCTACATATAACATATAATCTTTATTTATGTGTTTGTAGTGTTTTTTTATATAACCTAATCAATAATATTTCAGTTATTCATGGAGGATGGGTAGGCTGATAATCATTTTTGCTTCAAAGAGGGCGCCTCTCCCCTTCTGTACCTCTGCTTCTTGACGCTCCCGGCGATCATGTGATCCAACCAAAGACCGACGCTGCTTTAAAGACCAGAGTCAAGCAGCAATAAAACGGAAATCAGCAGGATCCTGGTTTGCCATTCAAATTAAAAGCATCAAACCTCTCATTCAAAAAAAAAAGAAGAAAAAAAAAGAAGAGATATTAGAATAGAATAATTTATTGACAGCAATTAAATTAAGAGGTCAACTCTTTGTGCTTCACAAAAAACATACTTCTGGGGAACAACTTATTTTCATAAATAAATTGAAGTAAACATTTTTAATGTTTCTTTTATACAGTTGTAGCCAATATAATTGTAAATGTTTGTAAACAGAAAGGTTCTTGTGCTTGAACAACTCTTAATGGCTCTTGGTGCTTTTATTAGTTGTATATTACAATTAACTGGGATGTATAAATGGGCCTATTTAAAACCACAATTTCTTCTCAACATCACTCAAGACGTTAAGACGTCAAGACGTAAGTTATACCAGCCTACTTGTACCAAAATTTGAGAATTAAGACTCAAACGGAACAGGGTCTTTGACATGTTTTGTAGACATTAAATACAAATCAAATTGTTTTTTTTCCCTAAGAATTACCATTACGAGTTGATGTATTTTTTATTGAAATGACTCAAAACTGTTGGTTTCAACTTTGTGAATATATAAGTAATATAAGTAGTGTAAACATACCAGTTACCTTAGGCCAGAATTGACTTTTAATGAAAAATAAAAAATAAAAAATCAGAGACAATGTTGTTGCTGATTTTTTGTTCTCTCAGACTTTGATAAAACAGTCCTTAAATAACAAAGCAAAACAACAACAAACAAAGTTTACACTTGGAATGGGGGAGGGGGGCTAGCTTTTTATTTGTTTTCTAAAAAACAAAATAAAATAATATCTCTAAACTTTATTTTTCTGACACTAGGATTTAAACTGTTAGATTTCTTTTAGAACATCTCCTAAATATGAAAATCTTTAAAGAACGTGTTTTCTGTTCAGCTGACAAATTTGAAACACAAAATGAAGGGAATAAAAACATACCACTAGACTTGAAGACATTTGCAGGCATTTTGCTAATGTGGTGCTTTTTTTTTGCTTTTATTGTGAAAAGTTCAACTGGAAGAAAAGTCGGTTGTCATGGAAAACTTGACACCGCTTCTTCATTCCCAGGGTTCCGTGAGAGCCGTTTGCCCCACCCCACCTCTTCAGCGCTATCTATCTCAATGTACAATTCTCTGAGAAAAAAAAAACGGGGGCAAAAATTATTCAGAGAAACACCGCGAACGGAGCAACTCTCACCTACCTGACCGGTTCAACGGAGCGGCCGCGGGCTATCGGCGCCGAAAGCAACTGCCTGTCTCCGTTTGGATGAAGTGAGTGAAAAAACCCCACCGCGGTATGTTCATGTATCATGCACATGTAACCATTATCTGCCGTACGGATTCAAAGGGAATACAAAAAGGCGAGAGACTTGACAGCGGACTGTGCTCCTGCTGCTGCTTGCGCCAAAACGGGGGACACAGCGGAGGATTTCCACGAATATCGTCCGGATATTTGGTCGCGGAGACGGACAGCCAGCTGCCGAGAGCCGCCTGTGCTCGGCCGGAGAAGATTTCCGATGCGAGGAGAAACACAAATTAACGCTACGGAGAGAAAAAGGACGGACTAGGGGCCTTTTTCCTTTTCTGTTTTTTTTTGTTGATGTTGGTCAAACCCTCCTTAAAAAAGACAGACACCCGCATCTATTGATCGAAGACAGGACTGAATTTTTGGCACAGGATATCACCAAAAAGGTTGCTGAGAACCTTCCTGAATAAAATAAAATGTGAGAGATTTTGGAAGAAGCCCCGGTGTAGCCTGATGATTCACATGCCGTCATTTTAAGAGGAAATATTAATTTTTTTAATTTCTCTCCCTCTCGTCCTTTAATGTTCTTTTTTTGTTTGAAACTCAATTCCAACCAGTTTGATTAATAAACCTAAATGTGTATTTTTAAACAAGAATAATTAAGAAAGGGAGACTGAAGAAAACAGAAGTCTGTCTGAAATGGATTGAATGGCAGTGGGAGTTATCAGCCGAAGATGGGCTCCTGAGGGGACATTTGCTGAGAAAATATAAAAATCTTTGTATCATCGCTATAAAAAAATATATGTGTATATATATATATGAAAAAAGCAAATACTGGTGGTTGAGATCCGTACGCCTTGAAGGAATCTGGGGCGCAGAGATTCATTCATGAGCAGCCAGAAAGCTGGAAATTCCACATCCACTCATATCAGCGTTGATGACTTCATTGCGGATTTACAGTGAAAAACACGGGAATCAAGTGCTTGAGAGGGCGGGATCGTTTGCTCCACTTCTGATCTCTCTGCTGATGGTTTTCCAGTAAAAAAAAAAAAAAAAAAAAAAAACACACACCCATAAAAAAACGCCTCGGCGAAGTCTACTACCTGACATCTGCTTCTGCCTGGGGAACATAGATGTCACCAATTTTGAGCCAGGTGTTCCTCTGGTGGTCCAGATCAAGAATTTAGGATTCTTAAAAGCATCTAGCCATCCACGCACCTTACAACCCGCTTTGAGCCCATAACTGGATTTTTTTTTTTTTTTTTTTTTATTGGGAAGATGGGCTGTCTTGGGAATAGTAAGACTGAAGACCAGCGAAATGAGGAGAAGGCTCAGAGGGAGGCGAACAAAAAGATTGAGAGACAGCTGCAAAAAGACAAACAGATATACCGGGCAACTCATCGACTTCTTCTACTAGGTAGGTGATTTTTCGAACTAAAATATGTTTCAATAATTGTTGCTTTTGTAGCAGGAAGAAAAATGCTCTAGGAACTCTTCTGCAAGGCATAAACAAAATGATGCGCTTGATACAATCTCACGCCACCAGTTTAGTGTTTTGACACAGAGCTCTTGGAGGAAAAAAAAATCCGGCTGGCCTGCATTCTGGGGGTCATTATGGAGCCTGATTACTGAACATGTGAGAGACAGGAGAACAGACACCACCATCTGTGTGAAGGCAGCACGCTCAGGCACCACGCAGAGACCGGGAGGCCGCTCACAGGCGTTCTTACACGCTCCTCTCTCCTTCCCAGATACCACTTGCGATCTGGTGTGTTTGTGTTAACAGTTAGCATTCTGGATGCCTTCGCTTTGGCTTTCTTATCAAGTGAAGTGCTCAAAAATAGAGGGGGGGGGGATGGGAAGTCTTTGATTGACAGTTTAGCTATTTTTGGCTTTTAACATTTGTGTCTCCACGTTGAAGACTAGTATCCTGTTAAACCTCGGAGTGCAAATTAGGATTACCATTAGGATTAGTAGCTTCTCTGAAACGTCTGTCGGGCTCGTTTTAATCTGAAACTGATCCCAGATTTGTGCGCACACACACACACACATTACACCTCTAAATAGCACTTTAGGGATGTTGTTGGCTTCCTAGGAAACACGTTGGGCTATTTCTGATGCCAAATTCATGGTCAGTGTCCTGACTGAGATTCAGAAATACTATTGGTTTATGTATGATTTTCTCTGACCTTGTTTTGGATGCGGAGGCTCCTATAATAAGCACAGCTGAAATTGACTCTGAAAGTTCTCTGTTCCTCCAGATGTCTCTCATGCACACTGATCAGCTGGCTTTAGTAAACACCTCTCAATGAAAGTACTGAACAAAACTATGCTAATAAAGAGGGAAAAATAAGAAAATACAAGTTGTCACATTAGCAAGGACTCCGATGAATTACCTTTTGCCTTATGTGATGTCACCAGAGACGAGCTTTTTTGTGGGGGTGGGGGATAGATTTATTTTTTCTTAAGTAACAATTTGCAACAAAACAAACAAAAATCTGACAATGAAATGTTGTTTAGTTTACTGAGTTTAGTTGTCCTGATATTTAAATTGGTAAATTACTCACACTCAAAGGATTTCCTTTATTGGAGGTGACAAGTATGAGAGAGAGAGAGAGTTGAAAAATAATTGAGCTTTTTGTATTTGTTTTTATCAAGTTTTTTATTTTTTTTTATTTTGTCATGTCAGCCTTTCTTGTGTCTAAAATGCAGTACATCTGTTAAGATGGAGGACAGAGATTTTGGGTCAACTTTGAGAAACAAAACCCTGAAGTTCATATCACTTAAATGTGAAATCTTAAACATTAGTTTTTAATCAGATTTTCCTTCAGGGCATCAGATCTTGTTTTATCCATGCATTGTGGAGTCGTTAGTTGTGTTTTGTTGTACAGTTCTGCTTTCTTTTCTCCTAACACTGTTCTGCCTTCACTCCCAGGTGCCGGAGAATCTGGGAAAAGTACAATAGTCAAGCAGATGCGAATATTGCACGTAAATGGCTTCAATTCAGAGTAAGTGTGGTTCCTTTTCTCTCTGTCCAAACTGTGTCACACCTTTGGATACAATTTAATCAAAGATTTTGATCATTTTTGCTGTGAATTCATTTTCTGTCTGGAATAAAAAAAAAAAAAAGTGAAACATTCATCGCACTGACTACAAGCAGTACAACAAAACTACTGGAGATCTGTTTGGCAGACAAGAGATTCTGTACATTTTAGATTTATATTAGTCAATAATTATTCAGTATAAAATATTATTTAAAGTGTGTTATGTTTTTTTTTTGTAATGTAGTAATCATTTAGTTTACACATAAATTATAAAAATTTCAAAGTGTTTTAGACTTCTGATCAAATCAACTATTGATGAAATTGAATCAACTTCTAGCAGCAGGCATAGCTGAAGATCAGTTTCCACATGATGCTGCCTGAGTGTAGATATTAATAACTTCTGTTTTTAACTTAAACTATAAATACACCAGTAAACTGACTGGTGAGCGTGAGGCCTTATGTATAGCTTTTTAACTTAAAGGATTGTGACTGGTGACCAGCTGGGTGGAAAGTCAAAAATACAATCTTTATCTGATCAGTGAACGCGCCATAACTAAGTACTATTAGGTTATAGTAGCAACACATCAGGACGAGACTCAATGTTTGTACACAGTATGACGCTAATAATGACAATAATCATGATTTACACAGCAGGGAGTGTTATAAATTTATGATATAGATCTAAAAATGAAATAAAGAAACCAGAGACTGGAAACTGGTTGCCACAATAATTAGTGCATCTCTATGTTGAACCAATTTTAGATTTTGTTTTAGGCCAGAATTTGAAGTAAGTTGTTGCCTTCTTTTAAGCTGCAGGTTCTTCATTTTCTGGACAATTTGTGTATGTGTGTGTGTGTTTTATTTATTTATTTTCCTGCAAATAAAGCTGGAAGGAAAACTGCTTAATTACATTTTTTAGGGTTTTTAACTTCATGGATGAAACATTTATTTAGTCTGTTTCATGTTTTCATTGATACATATTCCCCCTGGGTGCTGAGCAGCCATCCTTGTCTCGTGAATTTCCTAAAACAGTTTTTTTTTTTCCAAGAAACAATTTCTTTAGGGGGGCGGAAGCATCATCATGTGGTTGTTTTCAGGTCACATTGAAGCCAGATATCCTGGTGCAATGGCAACACTGACCCTCCAAGTTGGGTCGATTTTAGTCCCAGTTTCATGCATTTTTTTTTTGCCTGTGGGTTAGGCAACATTAGAGGTTAGTTTTATTATTTATTATTTAAAAAGTAATCAAAAGAATAACACAAACAAACAGACATGCCAAAAATAGAGGCAAATTTTGATAGAAACTAAGATGTTAAAACTTATCCACATTGTCTTAGTGGTTTGAAATTAAAGTTGGAAAGAATTATCAGGAAGCACATAAGAAACACTTCTCAACGTTTGAAAGGAAACATTGTGGTGCAATGATAACATCAACAGAATGAATAGGAAACCTTTCAAACCGACTATGTGGCAGGATTTACAAAGAAAACAAAACAGTGAAACTCCCATATAGTTTCTGTTAAACCTACAAAAGGTTAAATGCAACGGTCACCAACTTAAATTACACAAAATGCATTCAAGTCATGAGAAATATGCAACATAAAAAGATGTAGACTGCCGTATTGAAGACCTTTACATATCAAATAAAATTAAATTAACAAAGACATATACCAGGCTTTGAACTATAATTATGTACATGTTTCAAAAGCAATTCATCAGTAATTTCATTTCAAAATTAAGGAAACATATTGTTCATAATTCATCATTCAGTTATAATTAGAAAATTAAAAAAGAAATAACTTGATAAAAACTGAACTAAAAATGTTTTGTTTTTTTTTTTTTTCTGTGCAATATTAATTTAGCTCTTGAAGATGGATTTTGTGAGAAGGATCAAGTGGAAATGCTTGTTTGATCTGAATTCATAACCACAATATGCAGGATACAGATAATGTATTGTGAAAAAAAATAATGTTGCTGCTGTCATTTCTTCAAATCTGCTAATATACATCTTGTTTTTTGTTGTTGTTTTTTTTCACTTTGGATTAAATCAGATGTTTGAGAGCACACATTCCAAAGATTTTGTGCTTTATGATGAGAGTATTTTTCAACTATCAATTTCCAGCACGAGTTCTGTAATGGTGTTTACTGTCTGATTTATTGATATTTAAGTAAATATAGATAAAAAACAAATCTACTTGACCCTGGATACAATTTGCACACATTCTTCATCACGGTTTAGTGTCTACACTGAACATGAAGTGTGATTTTTTTTTTTAAAAGTATGTGGCATCATCATGCGCCTTGTTTTTGGTTGCATGTTGCTAAATTAGACACTGAATGTTAACCCAGTAATAACAGATTTATGTTGTTGGTGTTGACAATTCCCTTTTTAAACTTTTAAAATGTACAATAGTTATTGCTGGATGTTATCTTTCATATTGTTTTATGTGTTTAATGATGAAAAACAATTGAATTTTCAGATATTCTGTTATTGATCAGAATAAATAACACATTTGAAAATATTCTTTATTTCTTACTTTAAAATAGTCGAACCTCAAACAACAACAACAACAACAAAGACCACCTTTATCTCTTTGGTAGCATTTCAGGACAAAATCAAAACTCACTGCCTTCATATATTACATAAACTCACTGTTTGTTTAGCAATATATGAAACTGGCTCATTGGGCCCACTTAGTGTTTATAATTTAAAAAGCAGTTTAAAACCGCCTTAAAAGATGTAGTAATATTCTCCTCAAATGTCCCCCTTCACTCGGCTTGTTTTTGTGTTTTTTAATAAATGTGGCTGTCAAAATTAAGGCCAAGTTCTGCTGTTCTCATTTCGCGTCAGCAAACACAAAATTCAGGGGTTGCTCTTGCTCAGCAAAATAAGTGTCTGTGCGTCTGGGGCAGCCATAACACTGATGTCAGGTATAATTTACCTCCAGGCTGGTGAAGAGATCCAGCAGAACTTTATATTATGCAGCACATTCACACTGAATCCTGCTGGCAGTAATATAAAAAGAAGCCAAACATCATTTTACAGTCAGTTTGGGACAATTTTTCCTTTCAAGCTGCTGCTTTCGCAGAAAAAAAAAAAAAATGTGTAGCACTTAAATTTCCATATTTTAAGGTGATGAAGTTTTATTACCATGTAATAAAAAGGCCAGTTGTAATTATCTGGCTAACACATGAGCATGCCGAGTTCTTCGTGTGTGATGCTTTTTGGAGAAACGTAACTAAAAGCTCAAATGTGTTCTTTGTTCGGCACAGAGAGAAAAAACAGAAAATTCATGATATCAAAAACAACATAAAAGAAGCTATAGAGGTAAGAAACGACTCTTTTTTCTGTGTGAGATTGACGTGGATCATATGTAATGTGTGGGTTGTATCACAGTGTGAAGCAGCTCTGATTTGCTTTTGTTCTGCTCTCTCCGCCCAGACCATCGTGGCTGCCATGAACACGCTCACACCTCCGTGCCAGTTAGCGTGTCCTGCAAACCAGTCCCGGGTCAATTACGTCCTGAGCCTAGTAAACCAGAAGGACTTCGATTTTCCTTCAGTAAGTTGGTAAACTTTCTAAATTAGCATATCGTCTGATGGCTACCTGATCAAACTGTGTTCTCATTTGTTAGACTTTGGTTTGTTGCTAAATTAAGCAAAAACATTTAACACAGATTTACTAAAGTAAAGATACAGATTTATTCTGTTTTTGCGTTTTTGCCAGTGTTCAATGTTTCAAAATAACAAATAACAAACACATTTTGATGTCAGATAATCTGAATAAACAAAATGATTAAAATCTGCAAATACTTTGGTTCACCTTCTAGTAATGCGCATAATTGCCTGCCTTAATAGTTTATATTCCAAATATATGTTTAATATTCATTCACAAGCAAAGTGGAAAGCGTTTTGATGCTACTGAAGAAACTAATATTAAAGGTTTTTCTTATCTCTGCTCTTTGGGGCACAGCCAATCAATGACAAGAAAAATGAACTGGCTGCTTTGCAAACGCCAAACAGTACCCTGTCAAGTAGAACTGTGTCTTTTTATTTCACCTCCCCCAACCTGCATTTTAAACTGCAGTTCTGCCATGTTGATTGCACAGCTTGTTCCACATATAACCAAATGCACATTTAGCATGTTCATTTTGTAGCCAACCAAATTATGTAATGTCTGCAGTGAAATATTTGTAAATTACCTAAATCAACCTGTTTCTGCTCTTTCTACTCTCACAACTTTTTACGATATTGGAGCAGCCATCAGAGGCTGAAGAGACTGACGCTAGAACCTGAAAGCGCTGGCATGTGACGATTAAAATTGTTCTGCCAGCTTGAGAAACACAACGGGGGGAAAAAAAGAGCAGGGCAGAGCCATAATTGTGGCGTCTGGTATCTATATAGATGATATGAGGACGGGTACCTCTTAAAAACCTCTAAAAACACATCTGTGGCTGAATGCTTACAGCTGAAAGGTTAGGAGCTTTCCGACTCCCTTACTCAGGGCATGAAATGTCAAAATTGAAGTAGGGCTATTTCTACTACAATAAGGTGCTTTCAGTTGACAATTTATAATTTTAATGTTACTGAAACTTTATTTTTCTCAAAGTTTTAGTATATCGAAGATATTAGCATGTAGAAACAAAGTCTAGAGTATCAAGTCTTCACTGCTGAATTCTGCAGGTGTTCTGCCTGGTTGTGCTAGGTAAACATCTCACACCTTTTGTTTGTGCGGTGCTTCAGTAATTAGCAGGTTTGGTTCCACACGGGAGGCTTTCAGCTGAATGAGCCTCTCACCTGAGAGATCCGAGCCGCTGATTATCTCTAATAAACTTAAATATGTCCAGAGGGACGGAGGTTACAGAGACACAAGGACTCTGAGGGACTCACCTGAGGAGCCCTCAGCCTTCAGGTTCCACTGTTCAGGAGCCACATGTTCACTTTCTAGTTGGGTAAACGTAAACTTTCATTCATTCACAAAAAATGTCTTCACTGCTGGATAACTGTATCAAAGAATCAAATGTCTCGTACAGGAAAAGCAGAACAACTGACAATAGGAAATGGTAAAACTGACACATAGCTGTATCGCTGTTTTTTTATGAGGTTTATTTTAATGTCTTCCATGTATTTTTTTTATTATTTTTCCAAGCATGTCTGCTTCACTTTTAAGTGGGAGGCTTCTTTCTCGTATATTTTTGTCATTTACAGCTGAGCTTCCAGTGAAGAGTGAGCGTGTTTGTACGTAAGCAAAAGGAAGTTTCCTGATATTGCCTCTGTTGCGTCATGGCAAATTTATTATGTTTGCCTGTCTCACCCTGACTCTCCCCTCTGCCGTTTGTCAGTCGGTCAGCAGACTTTTGCTTCCGACCAGCAGAGTGATTATTGGAAGGAGGACTAGAGCTAGAAGTATTTTTCTTTCGTTACTATTTTAGCATTGACGATCATAGCAGGTATAAAGACAATCATTCTAACGCTGTTGGATTGCTGTCAGTGGTGTTATTGATCAAAATGACTTTGTGGCTGTTGAGGGAAGAGAATGAATCAGAAACTCTGATAGGCCCAGCTCCTCCACCTCCTTCTCATCTGTAAACTCTTGTTCCCGTTCTCCCTTGCTTGGCCAGAGGGCATACTGGAAACCAGTTAAACTGGTTGGCTCTGCCTTCAGCAGGGGTGGAAGAGAGGAAAGCCTGAAGCACTGTGGCTGTTTCACATATTTGTAATCCTCCTTTAAATTTCCTTGGAGGCTTTCAGTCTAATCAATAACCTTGATGGTTAATGTGCTCATCATGCAGGTATTTGATATCGTGTCTCTGGTAAATCCAAAGAACCATACTATGCGTTCATACATTTAGCTTGAGGAGATGATCTATATTTTGGACTGATAATTACTCATTTTCTTCTAGGCTCTTGATCCTTCCCTGCATACAAAACAATGCAATCACAGATTTAAATGCTTCTGGAAATTATCAGGAAGAGAAACAGCACAGACAGGTCTTGCATGTGTGTGTACAGTCAAAACTCTGACATGGTACATTTTGTACAGCAACAAAGTCGGTAAACGTTCAGTTGGTTGTAAGAAATAAAGAGGGTCGTTTGAAAAACACAGATTCTTGACAAAGATAATTGGAGGTGTGTTCATCAATTTTTTGAAAAGAGCATAAAAGTAGAAATGTCACAATGATCAATTACCTATTATATTGTTGGTGTGCCGATTATGTCTCTTTTAAATAATTGTATCAGAGTTTCTGACAAAACTCAATTCTCATTTTTATGTTCATTGCACCCACAGTGAGATGTGGGAAGACAATTTGCAAGGATTTAAGATCGTGAACTGTTTTTGTGCCCACGGCTGGAAAAGCTGTTGCACAGGCCGTGCTATTTGTTATTGTTATGAATCTGGATTTTTCTTCACACTATGTAATTTTACAGTGATGTTCAAAATGAAAGTGACATGACATGTGACCTACTTGTCCTACCACATACCTTTTGATTTAAGGGAGAGTTGTCTAGAGAGCAGCTGAAACATACGGTATCAAAAGTTATGATCAAGGCATAATGCCAACTTTATGAAGCTTTAGAACTACAGTAAATTATCAACAAGTCACATCAAAACTGAGATTAAATATACTAGAATTATCATATTTTACAGAGAGCATCATGAGCCGAAGTAAAAAATGAAATTGGTGAAAAATGTAGCAAACTGTGCTGGGTCAGATACATACTTATAGAAACATATGGCTATCCTGGAGAAACTCATGTCAGGAGAAAATGTCTGTTGCTGTTTAGAGGAACTGACACGGCAGCATAGAACATAATTTATAAGAGAATGGGACACAATCACTAATGTAGGTCATCTAGTAGAGATTTGGTGTGTTATTTTACTACTACTTCACAGCATCAGAGTTTTAAGGCTCGTGTGTACATGAGCAAACAAGCATTTTGACCATACTATTGCTTTAAGCTGTATAAACAGAATTTTGGGTCCCTTTTATTCCTCAAGCAAATTGGGCCAACTTTGTAAATTCTTACTAACTCTGTAAATTCAAAGCATTGAAACATCTTTCTGAGGCATTGTTAAAATAGCCTAGATTTGTGATGTGATTCAAAAAAGTAAGGCTGAAACTTAAAAACCACAAAATAAGACAAGTTAGCTGGAATGCCGAAAATGTGTTAATAAATATCTTAAGACCGATTTTTCGAAAGGTTTTCTGGACTGATGAGATAAGAGTGACTCTTGATGGAAAGGATGCATGGGCCCGTTGCTGGATAAATAATCAGCACAGAGCTCCGGTCAACCATGATGCCAACAAGGTGGAGGTGGGGTAGTGATGTGGGCTGTTCTTTAATAAAGATAAGTTAGATGGGCCTTTTCCAACTGAAGATGAACTCAAAATAAACTCCCAGAACTACTGTCTATGTTTAGAAGACATTTTCTTCAAGTCGTTATGGGGATAAAGTCTGCATCTTTAATAAAGACTATAATTTTAAGCTCCATCACATTCTTTGTTGTATATCTCTGCACAACTAGCCTGGTGGAAGACTGTGGTTGTTGACACACACAAAAATAATCTTAAGAAACTGAATAAAGAACTTATATCTGGTATTTGTGCTTCTCACTGATCCATTTATTTTACCTTCTGAAAATATTCAGGTTTGAGTTAATTAACATTTTAAATTGAGTTAAGAGGACTGCGATTGTTCAACAATAAAGTGAGTATTCAGAAATGCAACTTGAATAATTACATACACAAAATATACGGCACCGATTTTGGTGTTGTACATATATATGTACGTATCTTCTGTAATAACTTTGAGTATCAGGGAGAAAAAGTCCTCCTCCCGACATCCATAAATGGCAGTGTCAGATTTCTGCTTTGCCTTTTTTTTTTTTTTTTGAGATTTACTTAATTGTGTAGCTTTGCTGAATAACTGCAGCATTGCAAAATAAATATTTACATTGTGTTTTCTTAGGGTAAAAACACAGCCATACAACCACACCACTAAGCATCCATATAGAGACATGCCTCATATTTCTACAGGAGGACATTATTACATTTTTTGACTGGACACTTGTCTCAGAAAATGAAGAGTTTTTGCATCATAAGGCCTTTTTTTGTTTTTTAGAAATGTTCATACATTTCAGAGTTACTAATCTTTGTGGTAATTTTTATTCTTTGATATTGCACAATAAAAAGGTTTGGACTTACTGATCATTTGATTTCTGGTTGAAACAAAATGTAGCTTCATCTTCTGCCACTTGTAATAAATATTTTCCAGAGTATTATTGAAAATGTAATTGCAATTTGCTGTAATAAATCGAAGGTTTTCGCAAAATTTGTTCAAGTAACCATGTTTGAATATTCACACTTTCCGAAAGAATGAGCAAACCCTAAAATACGAAAATGTTAGTGATGGTTATTAAATACATTTTATGCTCTCACTGGTCTTTAAATAGTTTTATTCTAGTTAGTATCTTTATCTCTTCATTGTGTTTAATAAATCATCAAACTTTGAGAGTATTTCAAACACCTTCCTACCACTGAATTAACTCTCTCTTTTTAATGTTTTTTTATACTCATGAGCCTTAAAATATTTTTTACTTCTCTGGAAGAAAGAAAAAAGTTATCTGTTTCCATCACTGCTTTCAGTACAACAATTAAAAATAAATCATGAATTGTAGTTTTGTTGTAGGATGTCTGTCCAGGACACAGCCTTTGTCTTTTCTGCATAATAAGATGGCTGAACATTTCAGTTATGTTTATAGTTGCATATAATTGATTTCAGCGAATGAACATGGCGCCTTCAGGCACCTGGGAATTGAACCTAGGGAAGAACTAGACTTGCGGAGGTCCACCATTCACTCTCTGAACTTATCAGACGGCAATAAAGAAATGGTTAGGTCTTTTTATGCAATGTATGTAAATATCTGGTTTCAGTTGTATGTTGAGCTCTTCAGAAAGTCACATGTCAAACTACAGATCATCTCTGGATTGTTTTTTTTTTTCACTACTTCTTCTACTGCTTATTGCCCATTTTTTTTAATCACACATCCATAACCTTCAGAACAAATACAATGACAGATTATCATTTTAAACTTGTCAATTTTTTTTAAAATTTACTTTATTTAAATTTTTATCATGAGATGCTGTTCATTCTCTGTTGCTTAGCAGAGTATGCTGATTAACTGTATGGCTCATAATGGCTTATTTTTGCTCGAGTGACCAACAGCAGATTGTAGAGATAGGCCTCTGCAGTGACAGCCAAGCCTTTTGTCAGTACAAAGCTCCCCGTTTCTTCATGAACCCGGTGAACCGCTCTGTTTCCTGCCGCTGCCAGAGCCCGCTCATCTGCTGCTCCTCTCCGAGCCGACCTTAAACTCCAAACTTAGCTAGGGAGTGTATCTTGCCTCCCTCCATCTGTCCATAAACGCTTTCACCTATAAAGGAGCAGACGAGAAATACAGTTATAAGCATGGGACTCATAAACTACATAAAGCAGCCCTGTGCTAATGCGTTTTATTGTAAACCTTGCACTTATTTTCTCAGCTGGGTTACATTTGACCATTGCCTTCGTAGATTAATGTAGTTTTTCCTACTTTAACCCAAAATTGTCCTATTCCCACATAAGACAACAAATGGTTGTCTTATGTCTTCAAGCCAGTAATTATTGGTACTTTTCAAAATTTCAGTAAATTGTTTTGCAATCATTTTCTTAACGGTTGCAACCGTTATTGTTTGGTGTGTAATCTCAGGTTGTCACCTCCTGTTTTAGCTGCTGAGAACTGTATTTACTCAGATACTTTACATGTACAAGTCAAAAGTCTTTTGTCTCAGACCCATATTTATGCTTTCAGGAGTTTTATGACCACACAAAGACTCTCTGGCATGATGAAGGTGTGCGGGCATGCTGGGAAAGATCCAACGAATATCAGCTCATCGACTGCGCCCAGTAGTAAGTCCTTCTCTTCAGTCTTTTTTTTTCTTTCTCCGTCCTACAAACCTTTGCTGCTGTTAATGGACACGTCTGCATCTTCAAGGATACATTTTGTGGACCATTTCCTAAATCTACAGGGAATGATTCCATGTATTTGAAATGTTGCTCTACTACCTATACATAACAAAGTAATTAAAGGAATTTGTGTTTTTTTCTTACTATGTTCCTATGTTCCAGCAATGCTTTTTTGTAAGGAAAATGGATTTATGGGTTGATAAGCAGACATGGGTATGTGTGTCACAACCAGAAAAAATCTTTTCAGCCAATGTCACACAGCTTTTGGTGGAGGCAGTGTGATGGTGTGACGCCTCATCTCTTTGGGTTGAGAGTTTTCGTCACTGAAGGCAAATTAGGTGAAATATTAGGTTGAGCTTCCATACCTCCATTGTTAATGACAAACCTTCATCCTCCAAGATGTTGATGCTTGCGCCCACAGAGCACGCTTTATCAAGGATTACCACCAGAATTGGGGAATGTAGAGGGTGGAATGGCCTGCCCGCAGTCCTGACCTCACCGCCATTGAACATTTATGGGATTAGCTCGGGTGTGCTCTTCATGCTTAAATGACCAGTACAGCCACAAATGCGTGTTGAGAAATGGGATTCTATCAGACAGTACTGTGTGACCAAGCTGGTGACCCGCTTGAGGTGGAAGTGGCAGGCTGTTTTTGTTGTGTAGGATTCTCCAACAAATAAGTCATGTTTTTGGCCTTTTGTCATCCATTGGAATAAAAGATACGAAACAAGTCCAACACTTGTTCACTCGTGTCTTTGTTTTGTCTGAATGTTGCCATTTGCAACATTAGAAACGGTGGAGTACTCCCTATTTACCCAGAAAAGGATTATTTTAGTTTATTAGTAATATCAGAAATTGTGGAGTACGCACTATTTAGATCAATATTATACAGCCCAGAAATGGAGTCAGAATTAGAATTAGAATAACTACGAACTTGGAATCCAGAAATACTTAACAGGAACATCACTGCTTAGTTTATATTACTTTTAACCCAGAAAAGGATTTAGAACAAGCTTAGAATTGTGGAGTACTCACTTTAACCCGGAAAAGGAATTAGATCAGTCACTCTTTAGCTTATTTGATCAGAAACTGTAGAGTGCTCACTATTTAGAAATGGAATTAGATACTTAGCAACCCTGAACAGGAGCACTTAGTTTACATACTTTAGAACAACATTAGATTAGTTTTCTTTCCTTTTGTTTGTATTTCATTTTAGCTCATATAAAGCACTTTGAATTGCCTTGTTGCTAAAAATGTGCTTTATAAATAAAACTACCTTACCTTACAGCACAATAAGCTATTGTGGATTTTAGAAATCCTCAACTGTTTTGCTCAGCCCAAATTGAACCAACTTTTAGTTATGCTTATGCTCAAATTGCTTTTATTTTCAACATGGATGGGAAAGACAGATTTCTTTCTTTTTTGTCTTTTTTGTCTTTTTTTTACCAACGTTCTAATAAAAAAAGAAGAAAAAAAAAGCAATTTAGCAAATTTTTTGGCATAAAATACTGTAATTCCATGACGTGTAACCTGAATATTTTTTTTATTTATTTTTTATTTACTGCAGACAGTCATTTTAATTTACAAAGTTAATATACGCTTCTTGTAATCTTGCAGAGGTAAAATTAGGTCAAAACAACTCTTAAATGAGCATATAATTAGCCATTCGTTTCTAACACTAAATGGAAATGGCTTCTTAATGACATTAAAAGCAGCACTTTGCTCTGCAGCAACTGAATGCAGCATTGAGGCTACCATGACAGAAGCATGTTGCTTGATCATACTTTCCCTTCTTTGAACTGTCTCTGATTCTTTAGATTTTTGTTGTGTTGCTGTTGTTTTTTTGTTTTTTTACATGCTGCCTTTGTTCATTATCAGTTTTATATTATTGCCGGGAAATGGCTCTGATGCTGCTTGTCTGTTTGTGTTAATTAACAGATTAGCCATTTGCTACACTCATATTGGATGGCTGATGTAAAACAACAAAGACTGGTGGCTGATCCCATTTGATCTGTACTTGCTGTTGGAATTTAATGTGTTTTATCCATGCATTGTAAATTGGCTTGCTGGGTCACATCTTCTTCAGATCCTTCTAAAAATGTTCATCACTGCCTGTTTAAAAAAGACTAACATCAAGGGTTACTTAATATGCATTAGATTTGCAGCCAATCAGCACCAAAGAAAATGAATGGTGCCCTAGATTGGCTGCTTTGCAAGTCAAGAAGTATTATTGCGTCTTGGCATTTCAGCTTCCTAAATGAAATTTTCTTGTGAACATTTTAGACAAAAATGTTATGCAAAATTTGGCTATTCACAAAAATCTGTGAATAGGCGACTTGTACCTCTTTTGTTTTTTTCCATTGGTCATACGTTTGGTCATATGTTTCTGCAACTTTTACCTGGTAGACAGATGTTTCATTCCTGCCTTGACAATATTGGCTCATAAACTGCCACAAAGGAGTTGTATTATACGAGTCTAGCAAATTATATCAGAAGGTCACAAAGTGTTTTTGTTTTAAGGAGAAGTGTCATATTCCGAAAGAGTTAATTTCCACAGACAGGAATGAGAATCATAATAAATAAAAACAACACCCATAAGAAGTTTTGGAAATTTAATTTCATTAAATTTAATTGGCTGTGAAATTGGATACTTTTTTGACTCCACATCTATTTAGTTTACCAAAATACCTAATTATGGAGAAAAATGAAATGATAATAAGTATATGAGTGGGAAATGGCAACAGGATATGTGGGTACATATTGGCGCAGGCGTGAACAAACCTGGACTGAGCAACTTGTGTGAACATAAACAATGGAGCTGAATGAATAAGTTAAAGTTGACGAAATGAGTTGTGTGTGTGTTTTTTTTTTTTTTTTTTTTAAGTTCTTGAATACGTCTTTCTTGATTGAAAGCATTTTCAGCTTCCTCACTGCTGTATGCTGCGCTGCACTTATTTGCTGGCAAACGAGTTACATTTTTCTATCATGTAGCGGACGAGTTCATGCTGCATGGTTTCAGGTTGTTGACAGTAAGACTGGCATCATACGAGCGTGTTGTATAACCTGAACATTTTTAGTTTGAAATGATGAAGCGTAGTAGTGTGTGTGTGCAGAGAAGAGTTTGAAAAATGCTCTTGTTTCCTGCTAGTGTCTGTGTGATTCTGTGCTGTACTATGGCATACGTTTAAAGAACACAGTTATTTTGGTGAGCGATGTATTGCACTTCTTTATTTGAGTTGGTTTAGCATTTATTTCAGTAATATTGAAAACATATAAACGTCTGTCTTTCTGCTGAGTGATGCAACTTGGCTTCACTTGACTTCCAGTTCAATAATTCATTCATATTTTGTAGATATTAGTTGGCAATTTCTTTTTTATTTTAGACTACAGACTTGTTTAGTTGGTCCTTAAAGGAAGTATGTGTCTGCTGCAAAGGAAATTGCTGAATTTGTCACGCAGTAGGGATGACCTGAACCGATCAGATGACATTACCTGAACTAAAACTTGAGATGCACCAGTCGGTTTTTATGACCAATTTTAAAAAATCTTTTTTATTGAAAGATTAATCTTCGAATATTTATTTTAGTAAATGTCTGTCTTTTGCATATCTTGTTTCTCCTTTCTCCCTGAGCTTTTATTATTCATTTTAGAATTGGAAGGGATGGATGAAGGGATTTTGCCAGTAGCTCAATAAGAGGATCTCTATTTACTTCAAAAAGCTGTCCAAGCTCACCTGATTACAGAAGTGAACATTTAGCATTTCGTGTTTTGTCCTTTTACTTTAATCAAATGGTAAGATGTCAAAATTTGTGCTTTTCAACTTTGCTGCTGTTGTTGGAGGCAAAATCCTAAAAATGCCCCAATGTTAAAATGCTAAATTTATTCAGTGATGCTGAATAAATTACAAAGTAATCGCTTTGATTTGGCAGCAACTTAAGTTGCATGGCATGATGAATCGCAGTTGAGTCCTCCTCATCACAATATTGCCAATGCAATGGTCTGCTTGGGTTTAATATTAGCTAGGATGTTATATTTAAAGTGTAAGGCATTCAGGCTCTAATTTCCCTTAGTGTACCCACCAGATGTACATTTTTAGTGGCTGAGATGCCAAAACTCAGTCGTGTTGACATTGTGTAGAACAGAGTAAGAAGCCTGTTGAGGTGAAAACTTCAGCCACGCCCAAAATACTGGGGGAACAAACTTTATTAGCAAATCGATGCATTTTAGCTTGTTGCCTTCATTAGGATTACGAAAGAAAGAACCCTGAGTGGAAAATGTGGATAAATTGTTACCAGCAATGTAATTTACAGTTAAATTAAATATTTTCCACCATATTCACCAGCTCTAATATTCAGTTCTTTGGGAAATTTTACTTAAGTAGCTGGAAGATGCATTGCTAGTTTGAGCCTTTGGAATTAATAAACCTTGAAAGTTTCTTTATTATTTATTCAGTTCAGTCAATTCACTTAGAATTAAAGTTGTTTATACATGATATACGAGCTTATGAAGCTGTTGGTATATTTAAGTGTGTACTGGTGCTGAATTGTCACAGAAATTTGTCATTCATTACATTTATGTCTGTTTAAAAAAAAAAGGAAAAGAAATGTTTTAAATCAATGCAGCTGTTGACTGCAGATATTTGCATCGGTATCAGAAGTGGAAAATAGTGGATCAGTGCATCACTAGTGAAACAGCGGGTTGAGTCGCATTAGCCTGTGTGAACGTAGCATTAGACTTGGGGAAATGTTTGTGTGTTTGTCCCTGACATGTTGCATGCTTGGCTACAGGTGTCTGTTGGTTTACTGTTTACTGGCCTTCAGAGATGTGACAGCTGAGAGGTTTTAGGGCAGTTGACGAGAGCAAAGGTCTGAAAAGCAGGTAATAATCAGACTCTCCTCTCATGTCCTCTCTCCTCCTCGTTCCTTCTCTTCTGTACTCTTCTT